TAACTACAGTTACCCTAGATATAATGGGCTTATAACTACAGTTACTAAGTTGGTTATAAGTAAAACGAACCTCCAAGTAGGGTTTGCAGTTAAGGGTGGCGGGTGGTGTTTCATCACGGCCTCCAGGGCTTACGGCAAGTTCGGGGCTTGGGGTGGAGGGTGGAGGATCTAGGGCACGTGTGCTTAATCCGGGTGTAGAGAGTTTCTGGCTTCATGGTTTGGGAGTTTGGGAGTACGGCTGTCGGGTGAAGGGCTCGCAGAAAAACGTAGGGTCCTGTTGAATTAAGGTGGCGTTTTGTGTGATGTAGCTATACAAAGGTCGTTAAAGAATAATGAGGGTACGCACTCAGGCATCTACACTAGGGCTCTGCTTTGTCAGGCTTAGCTTACGGTGACGCGGACGGCGACGACAACAACGACGGTGGTTCATCGGCCGCGGTTTGCCCGTCGTTTTCTTGCCAAAGTCTCTTGGTATTCGTTATACCGAATAGCGACGATGATTAGGTGAGTAACTCTAATTGTTATTTCGCCAACCTTTGCCACCTTTTGCCATGAGTACTCTAAGGGCAGGCATGTCCACGAAGATCGTTTTGAAAGGAATGCATGTTGGCAGAACAATTCTTGGTCAGCAAATGCAATATGAGCTACAGTTTAAAACCCCAGTATCCCTCCTAATATCCCCTATACTACTCCCCTATATAACCCCTCTTAAGGAGTTTAGACTATAAGTCATCTGGTCAGATTTCCTGATCCCAAAGGGGGGGGGTCCTAGGCATCCTGAAAGGTGAAGACTCCCTGGTTTAGTTTAGGATTATATAGGGGATAATGGAAAAGAAAATGGAAACTACTACTTTTAGGGTTTCGGCCTTAGGGCTAAGGGTTTGAGAGGCCCTCAAACGGAATCCAATTGGACGACTCCAGCCCAGTCATGTGCGGCGCAGAAGCGGACTGCTGTGTGCTGTGCAGGCTATAGTCCCCCTTAGGTAGATAGAATATAGGATATATGGGGACCTATTATAATATGTCCAAAGCCATAGTCTATCTACTTAAGGGGGACTATAGGTCTTTTTCATCCTGGGCAGGTTCAAGATACCAAATCATCCCTCGGCTCATTCCAGGAGAGCTTCTTTACATCAGAGCTGCTATTCGGCGCACAAGGCGCCAACAACTGACGAAGCGCAGCCCCTTACCGAGTTGCATTGTGCGCTTTGTGCCCAAAAGGAAGACTAACGACTTCTCGGTGTAGGGTTTTCGGGGGCGGCTGGCAAGACTGAATATACGTTTTTGGGTCCCATGGAACCAAAGGCGGATGTAGTCTTACTTTAGACGGGGAGGCTATAGAGCAACCCAATAACCCGCGACTAATGCTATTACCATGCTTCTCACCGCTATTACCATTATTAGTACTGTTAATATTTCTTTTATTACTACCATTATTACTACTATTACGAGGCAGTACTCCGCCTTGGGCGGAGAAGGCCTGCTTCTCCTAGCAGCTTGTCATAGGCAGCCTCTGTCATCATGGACAGATGATTCGCCTTTCTTACAGGGGGTTAGCAGTTTAAGGTCTAGTTTAGGGATTAGGGTTTAGGGTTTGGGGGTTAGAGGTTTAGGGTTTAGGTTTTAGTAGGAAACAAGGGAATACATTATGAAGGGCTCATATGGGGATTATATGCCTCTATTCCCTAGTAAGCACCAGTAAGTCATGGACAGCTGAGTCGCCTTTGCAGTCTCTGGAAACCAGGAATGAGGAATCAAAGCAGTGAGCGCATTGAAAGTTGCATGGTCCAGATAAGCTTCGCCGTAGCTGCTTTTGAAAAGGCCATCCTGCCGCTGTTTCGCGAGGATAGCGAGTCTTTTTTGGCGGATCCACGGGTCAGTGTCGAGCTCACCAAGCAGAATCTGGCAGTAGAGGACTTCACCCAGAATATCGGTCTCTTCCTGAAGCTGGTCAGGGGACACCTTGAACCAATTTTATTGGGTTAAGAGTTCAGGGTTCTGGAGCATGCCATTCTTTAGATAAAATTACATGCATGAAACAGGATCAGACTTTCGTTTCAGACTCGGGTCGCATAAATAGTGGGCCCAATATAGAACCCAATACAATACAAACCTTGATATAGGGACTCCCAAAAAAAGGACTCCAAATTTCCGGAAACCCCAATCCGCACAGACCCAAGTTCAGCCACTTTTCATGTCAGTTTCCATGCTCTTCTCCAGCTGATGCTCCATTATCGAGGCAATATCACCAAGACCGTATGAAATTCCCATGTGACCTCTAAATTGTGGAGCACGAAGCCCTCAAGATGGCTATATCCCCTGCATCATCCTCATAGAACCCTGATATAACCTCATACAACCCAATTCTGAATCCAACGCAAGCTGCCAAGAGATGATGCGCGGCTGCATCCCCTGTTGAGAGCAAGGGAAGCGCTGCCTCTCATTTGGGCATTATGGCATTCATCCGAAATCGGGGGGCCCTTTCAATGGGGGTATAGGATATATATATATATATTTATTTATGTATATAAGTGTTATGTAAGGGCTAGATAGGGATGTTAACAGGCTTTTGGTCTTCGGGCTTTCCAAAATTAATTAAGCATCCCTTTGTGGCGATCCCCATTTTCACGACTAGAGTATTGGGGTCTATGCTGAGGTCTGCAAATTTATGGAAACTACTTTACGGGTTCCTCTACTACCCCGTGCGCAATTCGATACCTTGGCCGTAGCTATCCAAGAACAAGTAATTAAAGGGTAACCTGAAAAGCTAGTCTGGAGGGATCGGTTTAATGTAGGGGTTTAGGGAGAATCCGTAAAGGTAGCTCGTAACACCAAGGTCTGTCTAGGGTTCACGCCGATTGAAAACATCTTGTTTGGGGGACCTTACCTTAAACCCTAAACCCTACTATGGGAGGCTGGGGTGGCTAATGGGTTAGGCAACCTACTTATGAGGGGCTGCAGTAGGGTGATAATGGGCTAAGGGAATATAATCTATCCCCAGGGTGCCTCAAAATATGGTCAATACCTAACTTCCAAACCGTGAACCCAAACCCTGACACCCTGCACTATACCGCAAACCCAATGCGCGAACTTCTAAGCCCCCCCAAAAACAAACACACACACACACACACACTTACTTGAGC